AGAAACATCAGAGTGACCCCAAAAAGGAACATTCTACAAAATAATGGCTTGTAATCTGCAAGAATCAAAGCCACAGACTAAAGAGCCGACCAGACTGAAGGTCACTGCAGACAGGACAATTAAACACAATGGGAGACCAGCTGAGAGCCTTCATAGAGGTAAAGGGCAAATCTTGAATGCAGTCCGAGGACTAAATGGAAGCAACACATCAATGCTAATTTTCTAATGCTGACGATTGCCAAGTAGTTAGGGGGCAGGACTTGCTTTTTTGCAGGAAATACATGCCTTTCCGCATGGGGTAGGAGGTCAGTTCAGAAACTAACTCAGGAAAAGATCTGTCTTATTGATGTAAGACAATCTGTCTCTTGTAAGTTTGAGAGTATTTCAAAGTCTAAGAAAGAGAAAATAACATGAAGAAAGCAGCTGTCTTATACAATGCGTAAGGTCATCAGAGAGCAAAGGCTGATTTGCACTGGTAGCTGAGGCCATCATTTTTCTGCTCCAAGAAAACTTGGTGAGGTGCTTCTCCCTTGCTGAATATCAAACGTTTATCCTTTAACTCAGGATTGCCAAAATCTTTTTTATAAGTGTCTCCTTTTAAAACCAGTTTTTATTTCACAGAAATTGTGTCCTTTCATTCACTTTTAAATGTTCAGTGTTGGGATGAGGACCCTTCAAGGCACAGTTTAGGACAATGAAGTCAGGCAAGTCACCAAGGAGGCTGTTGTCCCCACCCCCACACAGAAAGGTACATCCAGCTCAGAGAATGCCAGCCAGGTTGCCCTAGTCAGCTGAAAAGAGAGCATACTATACTTGATTCAAATTACAAGTTCAGTACTATACTGTACATATCCAGCATTACACATGCCTAATGTAATAAGTATACATAATGATACGCCAGGTCTCACTTTTAAAGTAAATATAAGCAGGCAACTACAAATTTAAAACTACTAAATAGCCTTATTTTACTTAAAGTTAAATTGTTGCATACACACACTGGCTGCTTCAGAAGTCGTGGGCATGTGGACAAGAAAATGAAGGAAGCGGCCCAGCTCAGAGCAATCACATGCTCTGTGTATTTAAAAACCTTTCCAGCTAACTCATACTAGAGAACATTATTTTAAAGTACCAGAGCCGCTTTCCAAGCTGCCTATTTCTAGGAGAGGGAATTGTGTCTTGGCCGCTGTATACTTCTTCACAGACCCTAGAGGTCAAAGTAGCTGCTTGTCCCAGGCTCAGGGGAGTCTCTCAAACTGTGGCTTCCACCCTGGTCTGGAGCGTTGCTCTAAGCCATGGGGACCATTTTTTTCAACCTATCAAACTCAGAGGCAGCAGGATAACAGTTTGTCAACAACCTCCAAAAACTGCAGCTTTGAGGCAAAAATAGGTAATTCACTCTACCGCAGGAGGTTGTTTGCCCATTAACCGTGGTTTTGTCTGTTTGCAGTTTTAATATGATCTCCAAGAATAGCTAAGCTTGTTATTAATAGCACCATGAAAACATAGATAATGGTAGAAAATGCAATAATAAAATGAATTTGTTTTTGATTCTGGGCAATGTTTCCACTAAAATCAACACTGTGAACCATTTTAACAAAATCTGGGGAAATACGATATCTTTTGGAGCAAAAATATTTTTGCAGGAGAATACAGGCAAATTATATTCGCTAGGATACACACACAAACACACACATACACACATACATACACACATATACACATATACACACACACACATATACACACACACACACACACACACACACACACACACACACACATATATATATATATATATATAACTTTTGAGCCACAGAGGAAAAAATGTAAACTAAATGTCCTATTCAGGTGGTTGCAGGCTGCCAAGTAGACATGTAGAAGTATCTTTAAAAGGAAAATTAAGACAAGAAAAGGCATCTAAACCATTGGAGGAGTGATAACTGAGATTCAGAAGTTGGCAGAAAGTGCTGTGTTGGTACTAATGTTCTAGTACAATACAGTATACATCAACGTCTCAGAAATACAGTAGCTACAACTGTGAAGCATCTCCTTCTACTGCCTGATTCTAAAAGGGATGCTACAGAAAGAAGAGGTAATCTCTAAAATGAGGACAGATGCTGCTCTTGGATGTCAATGTGCTTTACAGATTAATACCCCTAGCATCTTGGTAAAAATGTTGTAGATGTGTTTTACTGGCTGATGTATCACTACGAGCAGATGCTGGAAGAAAGGGATTCTATCCCAGTGAGGTCTGTTTGTTGAGTACACATGAGCTGAGCCTTCTTGGAGGCTGGTGGCAAAAAGGTGTTTGTCTTGAGAGAACTCAGCAATACTGAGACAGTCTGTTGAAATTCAAGTGACCGACAGTCACTAACCCAGAAAAATCACCAGTAGGAGATGCCTGTAATCAAGTCAAATGTCCTGTGGTCCACAAAAGAGAATTTCTCACTTCAAGTTTGAGGGGAACTGGCCAATGTGGTTCTTCCCTGGATGCCAGGGTGTTCCAGATTATAAGGTCACATCTGCAACAAAAAAATTAGCGTAAATTTCTTTGAAAGCTGTGTGCCAAGTCCCTTCATCAAGCTTTCCTCTTTCAGTACTGTTTACACACCCCCACACAGCTGCACATACACATGAATGCATCTGTTTGCTTCAAAGTCCAGCACCAGGTCTGCTCAGTCCACTGTCGACACCAAGAACAGGCAGTATCTGAACACTTCACTCGGAATCCATCCACCACTTGCTCCAGCTGCAGCCAGGGCAGACACACCAGTATGTGCTGCTGACTGCTCTAGCACCATAGCCCCACTGTGTCTCACTCTGCTTTTCTGCCTCTAGGCTTTCTCTAAAGACTTGAGAACAGGCTTATTCTGAACTCAGCTGAAGGGTGAGGGAGAGATAACACCCCTGCAGGCAGCTTCAACCTAGTAAAAAAAACCAGTGGGTAACCCTATTTGTCATTCTTGACAGAAATTGTGGGAGGCCTCTGAACATGAGGTCAAACACCTGGAACCTAGAGCCAACAGTTTGGTAACATACCCTCAACTACCCACTTGCTTTTCTTCCTCTTTGCTCCTCCCTGCCCCCCACCATTTCTTCCTCGGATCATCTCCCCAATGAACTCTTTATACCCAAGTGCTTATCTCAGATTCTGTTTCTGGGAATCCAAACTAAGACATAAATAATAATAATAATAATAATAATTATTATTATTATTATTATTATTATTGGCACAATGATTAAGATACAAAAATTTTCAGTTTCAAAGCAATGAAACAAAGCTCACTGAAGGTTGTCAAATCTGTGGTGTTAACCATCTGAAAAGGAATTGCTGTTCACTCCGGTTCTGAGCTGCAGTAATTTAAAAAGAGGGGAATGTGGACTAACAGTGCGTTTAGCTGCCTTTCCATGTTGCAATTCCATGAGCATTAATGTGTGTCCCTGAACAACTGAGGGGGCTGAAAATGCAATGGTTTCAGTCTACCTGCCTCACACCATCTGCCCCCAAGAACCTAAGATGTATAATTTTCCCATAATGGGTATTTCAAACTTTCCGGATAATTCTCAAACTTGACAGCATTCCATTCTCTCAGTGGAACAAGTGAAAGTTCCTCCTGTGATTTCTGAAGCCATCCAAGGATTCTAGACTTGCACATTCTTTAGTTAGAAATAACTATGTATCTTTATGAATTTCTCCTTCATTCCCCACAACATCAGCCTAGGCTTCTCTTCCTAACATCATTATAAAGTTCCCATCATCATCCACGTCACCCCCACAGTAACTCATTCAGTAACTTGTTTTTAATGGATATTTGACAGATGTCTGTTGTATGAGTTAATGAACATTACAAGGAAGACAGCATCATCTCCATTTTTGAAATACTAAATGAAAAATTAAAACAATAGTTATGAACTATGGACCTTTGTCTTTTGTAGTGAGGATTGAACCTAGGACCTTATGCATGGTAGGCAAGTGCTCTACCATTAAGCTACATACATCTCCATCCCTTTCTTTACTTTTTATTTGGAGACAAATATTCACTACATTGCTCAGGCTGGCCTTGAACAGCTACTTTGTAGCCAAGGCTAGATCTGAATTTGCTATCCTCCTACCATAACTTGTGGGCTTTCTTCTCTTCTCCTCCTTCTCTTCCTCCTTTTCCTCCTCCTCTTCTTCCTTCTATTTTTTCTCTCCCTCTCTCCCTCCCTTCCTCCCTCTCTGTCTCTCCCCCTCTCTCCCTCTCCCTCTCTGTCAATTTTGAAACAGGGTTTCATATATTCCAGGCTGACCTCCAACTCACTGTGTAGCTGAGGATGACCATGAACTTCTGATCCTTCTACCTCCACTTCTCAAGTTCTGTGTATGTGACACCATGGCTGTTATGTATTGCTGAGGTACAATCCAGGGCTTCAGACAAGCACTCTACCAACTGAACTACATACTTGGCCTCTGGTACCTTGTCTTCAGTGGTGGTTTGCAAACATTTTTTTGTGTGTGTGTTCTGGAGATTTTTTCATTCTTCTTTCTTTTTTATTGCATTTGTGTGCATTTCATACATTATATTTTAACCATACTTAGACCCCCCCTCCCCATCTACACTACCTGATTTCACGAATTCATATAATCTAATATTCAAGTGTGTCCCCAAATGCCTATCCACTGGAGCCTGGTTAACCTAGTATCACACCCTTAGAAAACTGACTGTCCCTCTCCCAGCAGCTATCGGTTGCCAGTGACTCCACAGCTAAGGTTTGGGCTTCTTTTCCCCACTTCTACTCTGGAATTCTGTCTGGCTTGAGCTTACATGGGTCTTGTGCATGCTATCACCATTGCTTTTAATTTACTGCAGAAGTCATAAATTCAGTTACAATGAAAATCTAGAATTTCACAGAAAAGGCTAAAACTAGGCTCTTGGGGTATGGGCATTTAAAAAAGATTAAATTCCAGCGGTAACATGAAGAATATTCTTCCCTCCCCAAACCTCTAAGAGAAGCTGTACCTAGGAGTCTGCTTCTTTTGGCTGTGTTGACTGCCGCCATGAACATGTATTCACTATTAGGATCATGCACGCTGGATCCATACTTCTGAAAGAGAAAGTTGCAAATATGGTTTATCATCTGGTCTTCCCCATCTTCATGCCTGTTTTCCAAGTGTTTTCTTTTCCTTGTCAAAGTGGATATGACAAAATGTAATAGTGAACTCAGGCTCCTGACTGTGGGCTCAGGAACCCAATGTGCAAAAGGTTTTCAGTAAAAAGAGCTTTGTCAGCTAACGGTTCAGCAGGTTAAGATATGTGCTGTCAAGCCTAGAAACCTGAATTTGATCTCCAGGATCAATGGTAAAAGAAGAGAACAGATTCCCACGCCTGCCCACAGGCACACATGCATGCACAAACAATGTAATATTTTTAATCTTCAAAGAAAGCTTTCTATGAAACTTCCTTCCTCATTTTTGCATTAATTATTCCATCCCCCAATAGACTTAGATAATGAACCTTAGGATAGATTCCTCCTTCTTTGCTGCTTCTCAAGTACTTGACTGGCACAGATGCACACAGTCTGGCCAAGGGCCACAGGAGCATGCATTTACACACTATCATACCACGTAATATAGACTGGAGTGAGTTCTTTGACTGAGAGTCTCCAGTGGGAACAGCTAAAGAGAACATCCCACAACACCGAAAAGTTTTTCTTTTGTCCCTATTTTACTGTCCTGAGTAGCTTTTCAGTAGTTTTCTTTTAAAACAAGTAGTCTAACATGTAGGGAAGAAATTTCTTTCTTAGCTACTGTTAACACATTATAAGATAGTCTCACTGATTTTTTTTTCAACTTACCAATTAAGCAAAACTTGCAACTAATTATTTTATCTTTGCCCTCTTAGAAATTTAGAATGAAATTCTAAGCCAACATTTAATAATTTTTTAAAAATCAGAGGCATTTGTTTTTATGTTCTAACCTCCTTCCTAACCTTTATCCTCCCTTGGCCTCAATTTCCTATCTTTTTTTGAAAAATAATAATAACATATCTTTGTAAGCTAGTGAATTCTTTTTGGAATGAATTGAGCCATAAAAACAATAAATAAACTCTGTTCCAAGTTATTGGTGTAATTAGTATGTATATTTTGGGGAGAGGAATTTTCCACCTATTGGTCAAGTTGCTCTAGGAAGAATATCATGCATTTTATGAGGTGTAAATAGCCACTCAGGAAAACAGATATCAGGAAAAATAGACATTCTCACCTTTTTTGCAAACCAGAAGATAAATATGCATCCCAAAATGCATACTACAACAAACGCTGCACATCCTACAGGAAACCAGAACTTCAGTCGGCAGCAGAACTGTGATTCTGAGTTGGAGAAAATAAGATATCTTGATGAAAGATTCAGAAACAAATCTCCACTTTCAGTGCTGAATCACAAATTCTTTTCTAAGAGCTAAAGAATCTGTTTAGTCAAGGAAAGCTTTTCTTCATCACAATGATGAATCTGGTCAATGGTAACTAACATCATCTCAGTATTGCAGCAAGGATCCAGAAATTAAAACTGTGAAATCTATGCTAATATATTGCAGTCAATGGAAAGGGTGTTTGTCTGCATCTTTCAAAAGAGAAAGTAAGGGAATCAATGGTGCCCAAAGCTATGCTTTTCAATCATCTCACTTCATTCTATGAACTACTTTATGCCTTGGATGAGTAGAGGTGATAGCCACTGAACCATGATTTGAGTGTTTTAGACAACATGACCTGGAGCTAGATACATAGTTCAGTGGCTAAGAGCACTGGATGCTCTTCCAGAGAACATGTGTTTGGTTCCCAGCATGCATATGGTGGCTCACAACCATCTGTAACTCCAGTTCTAGAGGATCTAACACCCTCTTCTGGCCTCTGTGGGCATTGCACACATGAAAGAATTTACGTACATACTGGCAAAACAGTTTTATACTAAATAAATAAAAATAAATAAATAGAATTTTTCTAAAAAGACAATATAACCTAATTCTAATCTGTATGATTAAATGGCTTGTTCCTGATAATATCAATTATTATCAATCATACACCATCTCCTGCACATCTCATCCAAAATGATTTGTTGTCAACTACACCTAAATGAACCCCAGCACAAAAGATATTCATTTAATTGCTTTCATTGGTGAGAAAAGTTGTCAAAACGTGTATGTACTCTTAAGCCCCAATAATAGATGTCTTACCATAAATATGCAAATATTCTCCAGTAAGGATCCTTTCTCGAACAGGAGGAGGATCAAAAATTGATAGGCTACAGAAGTAATAGTTGCCATGGGAACTGTCCACATTATTTAGGAAAAAAGAGATGCTGCTATTGGATAACTGAAATGGACAGGCCTTCAGAGGTTTAATGGTCTCCAGGTTTCCATTACTCTTGGTCTTGGTGACATCACAGAGGACTTCCTTCCCTCTTAACAACTGCATTTTTAACTGCTGGACAATCCCAGGGTATTTGCATGAAATTTTCACACCTCCATTGTAGAATGAAAACATCTCATGTTTGGTCGAATCATTGGTTTCTCCTGGATAAAAAGAAAGAAAATAAAGCAAAAGTGATACTTTATGAATATGTTGCCCCAATAATTATATTTAAATATGAATGTAATTTCTTTTTATTAAATCATCTCTAATGTACCAAAAGGAAAGCATTTCATATCCAAGCACTCAAAACCAGGATGTAACAAGATAAAACTTTGTACTAGAAAATACCTAACCAGAAATGCATTTTCCATATGTAATGGACAATATGTAAAACATTAAATAGTAAATAGTATTTCAGATATGAATATATCCAAACAGATATAAATATCTATATGAATATGAATCAAAGAGATATGGTGTGTCCAGAGGTGCAGTTGTTCCTCCGAGGGGCAGCCGGCTGCTGAGAGTTAGCTGCAGAGGGAGGAGCATGGGTGCCATCTTGGCAGCAGCAGTGGAGCAGAGGAAGAAAAAATGGTCCCAGTGTCTAGCCCACGTGGTCACAAGAGGGGGCATTTACCAACCTGGGGCAAGACCACAGGCCCATGAGGCATGGACGAAAGCTAACAGAGACTGTGGGCAGGGCTTGGAGGCCACCAAGCCACAGAGCTGAACCGGGTACCGGATGTGTGCCTTTCTAAGTTACTCTATTTCCCCTACCTTAGATATAAATTATTAAAAAAATTCAGATAAAGATGTGTTATATGGTTTGTCTAAGCACCAGGAGCAAGGGACCCTAAGAGAACTCAAGGGACATATGGTTCCCACTCTTTTATAGGTTCCACTTGAGGGCCAGATCATGAGTAGTTCAGTGAGTGGTGGTGTGCCATAATTCATGCTAGGAACAGATTACTACTGGGGTAAAAGTGGTAGGGTTGGTGTCATAGATTATAATTTTCATTAGAGGATCAAATGAGTTCCTTCAAAGAAATAAGTTTTTACAACTGAAACTAAAGCGTAAGTGTCCCTTAGCTGAATAAGGAAAGACTTGAGAAAGATGATGGGGGAAAACTTATTAAAGCATATAAATTTAATGGAGCTAAATTTGAATAGTTATATATAAATAGATATTTACATTATGCCCTCCAACTGAAAAGCCAAAAATCAATTATGCTCAAGCAGTACTAATGTGCCTTCTACAAGCCTCATTCACTAAGAACTGACTCAAAATCTGATGATCAAGTTGGTGCCCCAGATTTTTGCTTACTTTTTCACTTTTAAAGATCACCAGAACCCATGTTCATTTTGGGAGCTTCACAGGGATTACAGGAGGAAGAAACTGAAGTGGCTTAGCCTGCTTAGAGATTCTTAGCTTCTGGTTTATAAACTCAATTTGTTTTTTCTATTCTTTCATTTAAAAATGGCAAATTTTCATGCTAAAATCACTTGGTAAAAATTCTTAGAATGGTACTTTAGTATTGAAATCTCTTTTTTCTTAAGATTAGACAAGCACAAACAGAAAATGTATATTTTTTATTTTGATCCTCTAGAGATTATTTTACACAGAAAACATACTTTGTGCTCTGCTGTTGCCATTTAATGTCATATCATAAACATTCAGTTTTTACATATCTGCCATGTTAACTTTTAAAATTATCTTATAATGAGCCATTATACTAATTTTCCATGATTTATTAAAACTATCCCACTAAGTTGCATACCAGAGTCATTTTCAGCATTTTTGCATTTGTGCAAACATTATGGCATTCTCCCAATATGTTCTAGCATCATTATACTATTTCATGCCATGTTACTTTCTGAAAGAAGGGCTGCGGTTTATATTAAGAATAGCATCACGCAAGACGACCCATTGCCCAGCTTTGCTTGCACTAGTTGCCTTCACCTCTTTTAAACTTTATCACATTTATTTCTGAGTCTTAAATGTATATTTCTTATATTTCCAGGGAACAGATTTTCAAATTGGGGGTTTGATTGTAAAACTAAATCCAATTGTTCCAATTTCTAATTATGTCAATATAGATTATTCAATCACAAAACAACCAGAAATTGTGAACAAAATATCTGAAAGTAATATTATAAGTAGTAAAGAAGTGACTTGAAGAGGAGAAAACAAAGTTTAAACATAAAAAAACCACTGAGGAACCAGAGAGCCAAGCAGAGCTTTAAAGCTGCTTTGTTCTGACAACGTCTATTATTCTGTTCTTTGCAGGTCCAAACTTCTGGTTTTGTGTTTTACCTTGCAGACTCCACAAAGCAAGGGAGTTGGAAGATGTTTTCAATAAAGATTGGTTTTCAGAGAACTTGGAAGCATCCTTGTTGTACAGGGAAACCAGAAGTAAACTGACCCTCATGTCAAGTATAGTCCCCCTTCTAATCACTTCAACAATCTAGAAAAGCCTCAATCCTGGGATTTTATTGAAAGTAATCTTGAACTACTATTTTCCCTAGTCTTTACAAACCAAAATGCAACTTGTTCTAAGAAAAAAAAGCTGTATATCCTAGATTTAAAATCAGTCTTACAAATAATACTTAAATACAATGACAGATGCACAAAAAACAGTGAAACACACAAAGAAAAGGCAACAATAGAAATGGCAGACTACAAAAACAAAACACAAACATTATATGCTTAATATATTTTTATATTATCACATCCCCAAAATGAAAGACAAACTTGTAATAATATCTGCAGAGTGAAGGAAAATTTTACGTCACCCAATTTGAAAAAGAAATAATTGATTGCTACTGGGTGAGGGAGAGTATGCTTTGCTTGCGATCCCTGGCTAGGCTGATTAGACTCCAGTGGATGAATTTTCACTGAGGGACATCTGGGTACAAATGCTTGACTCGATAAGACGTGTATGGCAGAATGCCTGAGGTCCAGTGGGAGTTTGGGGGACATAAATGGGGGAGGGGTCTGGATTTGATTTGGAACTGCTTTATGAAGTGTATAAAAACTCAAAAAAAATTAAAGAAATAATTAGAACTAGAAAAATTCACTAACATTAAAAATTCAGTGGATAAGTTTAAAAGTATATTAGATGAGGTTTTAAAGAGAATTGATGAAGTAAAAATAAGTAAAAGAAATTATCCAGAATTCAAGAACAGAACAGTGTACAGATTCAAGAATCCCAACAAATCATAAGTGGATTTTTTCAATATACACACCTAGAAATAAAATTTTCTAGAAGCAGTATCCTGAACAAGCTAGAAAAGACACTCATTGCCTTCATAAAGAAGCAACTATGAGACTGACAGATGATGTCTCAATATCAGCTATTAAGGCCATGCATGATGCGATACAATTAGAAACCATATCTTCAGTGTGCTGAAAGAAGTCACATGTGAGCCTAGATCACATTAGGAAGATAGTAAAGCCAGGTGCAACTTTTGTAAGTGAATCTGTACATATTGTGGTTTCTTGTACAATCACTATAAGAACAGAAGTAGGGCATGAACCTGAGTAAACACTGCAGAATCCAGCCTCATGCTGTTGTCTGAAGGGGAAAGAGAGAGTTTGAATCAGGAAAAGAAAACAGAGAGGCAGAAAGGTGTTGGAGTGCTAACAAAGTTTTATTTCTTGGCCTGTGGTGATGGTAGGGATAAGGTAGCATGTTCATTATTCATAAAACTGCACATTTATGTTTTGCTCACATTTCTATATAGATGTTTTATCTTACTATTAAAACGTCTTAAAAGAATGAAGAAAGAGGGCTCAGCGGTTAAGAGCACTGACTGCTCTTGCAGAGGACCTGGGTTGGATTCCCAGTACCTACATGGCAGCTAACAACCATCCATAACTTCAATTCCAAGGATCCAATTCCTTCTTCTACCTCTGTGGGCATTGTATGACACAGATGCACTTACATGCAGGCAATGCACTCATACACATAAAACGAAAATGATAAGTAAAATATTTTTTTAAAAGAATGAATAAGGAAAACAATGCTGTTTTCACTATTTTTTAATGGTGAGAGAAGTATAAGTTAACTATGAAGGGGGGAGCCCTGGCAGCATGAGAACAGGTGTAGCCGGCATTAGACTCAAGTGGAGGGGGCCCCGCTGGAGAGTGCTTGTCTGAGAGTGACTATGTTGCACCCCTGCTGTTTCGATGCTTTTGTCTGTACTATCTGCTGCAGAAGATAAGATCAGTGGACTGGTTCTCAGTTCCTTTAGAAATATTCAGAAAAAATTTCCCAGACTTTAGAATGGCAGCAAGTAAACCACAAAGAGATTCTGGGGCAGAATTGTCTGCAGCCACTGTGTACACACATAAACATAAAGGCACTGTCTGCTGTCAGCAGTTTCCCCTTCTTTACCCACTCTGTGACCTACAACCCAGCACAAGGTGAAAGGCAGCAGTGGAAGCCAGGGCAACAGTACCAAGGAAACCAAGCAGATTCTGCCCCTGCCCCAGGACCAGCCCATGGGTCTGTGCCTAAAGTACCGCTGTGGACGTCTCTCTTTTCATCTGTGAAATAGGAAGTAACAACAGCACCTTATAAAAGGCCTTTCTGAGGAGATGGTTCACCTGAGTACAGACACCTACAACCTACTTAAAAGTACACACAGCAGTGTGCATATGTAACCCAGTGCTGGAGGTAAGAAGCAGGCAGATTCCAGTGCTTAGCTGGGTAGCCAATCTAGCCAAAAAAAAAAAAAAAGTGGGTTCTAGATTCAGTGAGTGACCATGTCTCAAAAAATAAGGTTGAAAGCAGTTGAGGAAGTCACCAACACTGATCTCTGGTTTCCATGTGTGCACACAACCACACACACACACACACACACACACACACACACGTGCACACACACGCATGCACTCATTCTTTCTAACACTTTCTGTGGGTTTAGGATCAGAACACAGATGTGACTACAAATAACTTCAAAAGATAAAACTTTGCTGTCAGGCAAGTTCTTATCAGGGATGCCATGCTCCCATAATCTTCTTTTAAAATGGAATATTCCAGGGAGTCAGGAAAAAGTTAAGGTGAGTAACACTGTCTTTCTTACCCACGAAAGTATGTGGGAGGACAAGGAAGGGTTCAGTTTTTCTTGAATGACAGAATCAAGTTGTGTGTCATTG